TCCCTATCAATCTGGTTGTGGCCACTACTAAAAAATCTTCCGTTGGAAAAAACCCCGCCACTAAATGCAATTTTGACGGATTTGTATTTTCCGATGAAAAAATCCGCCAGAAATCCGTCGAATAATTTTATAATATGTTATCCATTACCCGGGTTAATTAGAAGGAATATAAAATGAGATTAGAGTTACTGACGGAAATTCCGTCGGTAAACTTTTTCCATTTTCTTCCAAAACAATAAACAATTTTATTTCAAAAATAAAAATACCATTTTTCCGATGGATTTCTGACGGAAATTTCGTCGGTAATTATATTTAAAAACTTTTTTTTTCTAATTTAAAATTTGAAAATGCTTTTTATTTTTAATGGAAGGAAAATATTTACCGAAGGATTTTCCATTGGAAATTAGTCGGACAATCCGCCAGGATTTTTTTTTTTACTAAAACTTATATCTAATTATTTATCGACGGATTTTTCGTCAGAAATCCGTCGGAAATTTTGCTGGTATAGGAAAAAAAAACAAAAACCTCCTAATCTAAAATCCTAAAATATAAAGATCCTGTAAATTAAATACAAATAAACAATACACAAATATGTCATAAATATCTAATATGATTATCCGAACGAAACTAATTTACATATATAAATTCGATTGATGACGCTAGTTCATAAATAATATGTATTATTTCTCCATCATTTAATAAGTCAAAAAAAATTTGTAATCAATACGCAACTTGAGGGATAACTTCATTGTCCAATATTTGTTTATAATCTCAAATCAATCAAGTTGCTCAATAATACAATCATAGATATAATATGGTTTTAGTTCACGAGTTTTTGTATTTTGTTCCTAGTTAAGAATATTTTAAATATGCGACGATAACTAAATTATGTTCTTTTCATTTTTAGCTGACTTGAAAGTGCGCTTATTATACTCTCATACGCACTCAGACATCGGATCAAGCAGGAAATGGGGATCAAATTTCCATTGATTCATCCATCTCAAATAAAGGGAAAAGGAATCAAGAAGGGTCAGTTGTGGGTTTCGTCCAGATGCATGCCCCTTTTTTTTTTACTGTGTGGGATGCTTGGATAAAATCTCCAATCGTTGCTACTTTCTGATTTTGTTCCTTTTGCATTTTGTTGTGTTTTTGTTATGGGTCGATTTCGTTGTTGTTAGGTCCTTTACGGCTTGGTTTGCTTTTAGTTTTTCGGGGTTGGTTGCTTGGCGATCTGTCCCTCGCATATTCAATTCCTTTGTTGTGTACTTTGTTTCTATTTCGTTATATTATATTTGTTTCTAAGAAAAATGATAAATTAAGTCCATTATTTTTTTTATGGAAATTAAAGTTACTATGTATAAATTTTTTATTTTTTTTAAATTATTATGTTTTATAATTTTTATTTTAGTTGTAAATTGGATACTTTGCTTTAGGGGACTTAAATTTATATCAAACCAAACTAGTTAATTTGTGTATGAATTGTAACAATTAAATTGATAATAATTACAATTAATCTTATAAAGTGTATAAATTTAGTAGGTATATCGTACTGAAAGTCGCATATCATGTTATTATTTTGGTATGAACTTATTGATTATTAATTAATAATAAAACTTATTTTTATTTTTATGTTTTGGATTTAGAAATAATTTTCATTTAACATTACCATTTCAGTCCCTTTTTTCATACTAAAATCCCAATCTTAATTAACCCAAAATCGTCAAATCCRTACCGCACCTCCCTCTCCATTATTAATATTGTCTCAATCCCTCTTACCGTTCACATTGAAGTTGGTATAAAACTAGTACAAATATGTGTTAATTTATGTCTTTCTGATGTATTGAATATTAAATATTGTAACTTTAACAATTTTGTTTGAGTATTTGAATTTTTACAAGTTTTATTTCTTACAATTAAAATCCATTAAAAATAATATATGTTACATGCAAACTCAAATTCTCATCCAAAATTTGAACAAAAAATGGCAAAATTTCATGTATACAACTTGAAATTGGGTACAAAATGAGCATCAATTGTTCTCAAGAATATTCCAATTTGACAACCAAGTTGATGGATTTAAAAACAAGGGTGGATATTTTGCAAATTGATTATGATATTTTTTGGGTTGAAAATAATTCGATTTATGATTTTATAATAAAAAATTTAAACGTCTCAATTAACTACAAAAATTAGATAGGAGGTGACTATCTCTACCCACTACAACAAAATTACCTTATAAGATGACTTGATTGACTATAAGTATCATAACAAAATACTTTACGGAACTTAGGTTTATAGAAACAAACTATAAATTATCTTATCTAAAAGTGTTATAATAAGTTTATAAAACATTTTACGGGTTTTAAAATGTTTTTTTTTTCAGGATTATTCTAAAAAATAAAATGTCCTGTCAGCTATCTTATAAGACATTTTAGAGAAGACATTTGTGTTTATAGGACATTTTTTTCAAATAGTGTCATATATAAAATAGTTAATGACATCCTAAAAACCTTGTTAAAACATCCAAAACATATTGTAATATTTTTTGATAGGACAACTTTATAAATGGTCCTATAAACTAAAGTCCTATAATGTATATCTGTAGGACGCTTCAATATTTTAGACGTCCTATAAAATCAATATAATTTGTTGTAGTGTCCCTTTCATATATTCAATCATATTCCATTAAAATATACAAGGAAAATTTATGACGACATTTTTTTTATTTTACCATACAAATATTCGTTTGTTTTATTGCTTCGTTAGTGCATTGCCGGGTGATCAACGTCATTGACATCAATATTAAATTCGATAATTTTCATATTTTATAAAWTTGAACATTCATATTAATTAATGTTGATGCTCACTTCATTTCTTTTGATATTTTTAGCAGACCAATTAAGAGATATTACATCCTTTCAGACATTAATTCTGATCTCAATTCAATGGCTTCCACTTCTTCCTTAGCCCTCGTTCCTTCTCCTATGGCTAACTATGACATCTTTCTAAGCTTTAGAGGCGAAGATACTCGTCATTCTTTTACCGATCATCTCTATGCCGCATTAATCCGAGCAGGAATTTCCGCTTTTAGGGATAATGATGAAATCAGTAGAGGTGAAGACCTCAAACCGGAAATCGAGACAGCAATCACAGCATCGAAGGGCTCGATAGTTGTATTGTCTAAGAATTATGCAACTTCAACATGGTGCCTCGATGAGCTTTGGTTGATCCTTGAGCGAAGGAGGGAGTTCGATCATTTNGTATTTTATCATGTTGATCCCTCTCATGTTAGAAAGCAAGATAATACTTTCAAGATACAAGTTAAAACCTCTTCAAAGTGGACGGATGATAACGTGAAACGATGGAGACAAGCCCTTACGAAGGTTGCCGAATTGTCAGGCTTGGTTCTTTCAGGGTATGCATTTTTGTCCCAGCTTAAAATTTTATTRGATTGTTTCTTTGCGAAAGGATATACGAACATCCTGTAAATGTGTCTCYTGAGTATTCCTCGATCATTTCTTCTATGAAGAGGCCTGAGTTCCTCAGATCTTGAATATCATTCAATTTTCTTCGGGGGGGTGTTTGGTTCATGAAATTTGGTGGAATTGGAATGTCCAAATCTTTGACYAAATTCCAAATGTCATGTTTGGTTCACATAATAGATGTGAAGGAATCYTTCCAATTCCAACAAATTTCTTAATTCATTGATTTCACAATTCCACCGTTTATACCACGGATTTCAAATTCCAATCCGACAAATTCCTTAGCCCTCATCCATTCATCGACGTTGTATCTCGATTTGCTCTGTTCTGATGTGCTCGATCTCCTTTGCTCGATCTCGTTTAAAACTAAGAACGACAACGGGCCAGGTTCGGACCGGTTATTGGTCTCCCCGTCCCAGAAAGCGATAACTAAAACCATCCCCGTGACTGCCCTGATCCCCGTCGGGGATCTTATCGGGGATCCCCATCGGGTCCCCGCGGTTTCCCCGATCCCCGTTGGGGAACCCGTTAAGGTAAAAATCATCTTTTTCCCGTTCACCGTTGGTTGTAACCGAACCCGAAACCGAAACCCAAACAGATCTAAAAAAATTACAATATGTTAATTTTCACAACTAAAAGTAAATTACAATTTTTTTTAAAGATGCAAGTTTAAATGTCTCAAACATAATCGAACCAATTACAAACAATGTATTAGATTACAATATAAAAATAAATAGAACTTCAAACATCATACAACAAAAATCGTGATTTCACAATTAGACAAATAAACTAGACTTTTTCTTGAAGCTTATTTGGGTTGTTGAAGTAAAGTGGATAAAAGTTTTTTAAATTTTAATGTTACTATTTTCTTTTAATGATATTATATATATATATATATGTATATATGTATATAAATTAAAATTAATATACATACACATATCAGGCCGGGCCGGTCCGATGATCACCGCCCCCGTCCCCGTCAAAAATCCCCAAATTTGTCGCCGATCCCCGCCCCGTACACGATAAGATGTCCCTGAACCTAACCCGAAATTTTTGGTTTTCAGTTTTCACCATCGGGTTCCSTTTTTTTGCATGTAATTTTCTTGTTGAATTCTGTGAAAGAAACAAAAAAAATTCCAATTCCGTTAAGAATTTCATTCCAATTCCATCCAACCAAACGCAATCAAAAGACACGGTTAAATTCCATCAAATTCCATTTCATTCCCTCAAAGTCAAATTCATTTAATGAATTACTATTCCATCGAATTCCATTCTACGAACCAAACGTCCCTTTAAGGTTTCAAAATGCTAGTATTCCCACCAAATGTAAACATATACTAGTAGACTGTAATTCACATTTGGAACACATGATTATTTTAGCATTATTTTCATAAGAACTTGTGAAACAAGTCTTGAATGCCATCAACTGAACTAGATCACTTACCTTGTTTTGTTACAGGTCAGAAACAGAGTTTTTGAAGAAAATCATTGATAACGTTTACTATAAAGTTGGTCACAAAATAGTTAATCTTCCACGCAATCTAACAGGGATGAATGCTCGAGATAAAGATATTAATTCCTGGTTAAAGCAATCCGACAGCAAAGTTCTAATAATTTGTGGCATGGGAGGAAGTGGCAAGACCACGTTGGCCGAGTACATTGTCTCTTCAAATCGGCAACATTTTGAAATCATTAGCATTTTAAAAAACATGGGTAGTATACATAAAAAACAAGGTAATATTGATGTGTTAATCCAACAATTTTCCAAAGATATTGTAGGAGAGGGGAAACCCCAAACATTGTGCGAGCGCTATTACATAGATAGAGTTTTAGAAAGGAAAAAGGCACTTATTGTTTTTGATGACATTGATGAACCAAGACCAYTGGAAAAATTTATCAATTTCCAGAAAATTAATGAAAAAAGCAAAATTATAATGACAACCCGGAACAATAATACACATAATTGGTTTAGGACTAGAACTTGGAGTTGTCATGAGTATAAGATGACATTACTAGATGATGAAGAAGCATTAGAGCTCCTAAGTCTTCATGCCTTTGGATTCAAAATTCCGATGGACGGTTATGAGGAACTTACAAAAGAGGTGCTACAGTATTGTGAAGGAAATCCACTGGCTCTTGAAGTGTTGGGTTCCTCTTTATCAGAGGATATTAGCATCCTATTTTGGAGAAATACATTGGATTTATTGAAAAGAGATATGAATTCTGGAATCCAACATGTACTCATAAGGAGCTATGACTCATTGCCAGATAGAAATAGCAAAGAGTTGTTTTTACATATTGCTTGTTTCTTTGTTGGCGAAGACAAGGATTATGTGGAAAAAATATTGGAGCTTGATTATTGTGCATCATCTGGGATCAAAGTCCTAACCAATAGATGTCTTCTTTCTGTGTCACCAAACAACAAACTGATGGTGCATCAATTGATTCAAGAGATGGGGAAAAGCATAATCAGTGAAGAATCAAAACGCCCTGTAGAACGTAGTAGAGTTTGGCGTAGTATTGAATCTTACAAGATCTTGCACAAAGGAGAGGTAAGATGTTTCTTGTGTTGATGTTTAAGCTTATATTTCCTTTCCCACCCTCCTATTTCATCTAAGATTCTATAAATTCCTCTAATTCCTGTTTAGGGTTCCAAAACAATGGAAGGTCTAGCACTTGATATGCAAGTTTTGCGGGATGATAATCCGCAAATTTTGACGGTCAAAATTCATATTCTCTCTCTTATTTTAGATTATACTCTTTTTATGATCAACACTCGCTATGTTATCTTTCGGTCCCAATACGTTCTTTAGAGTGCCTTAATACAAGAAGTAGTTTCTTAATTTCTAGATCTGATGTACGCTTACTTGCTCTTTTCCATGTTAAATTTGCAGTCTTTAGATCTTAAGACAGATTCACTTACAAAAATGGATAACCTAAAATTGCTCCACCTAAATGATGTGCATCTCACTGGATCCTACGAGGATTTTTCAGAAGATTTAAGATGGCTATGCTGGCGTCAGTTCGATCTAAGAGCCATACCCTCCGGCTTATTCTTCAAAAGCTTGGTGGCTATAGATATGCGAGATAGCAAGTTGAAAGTATTTGAACCGCCAATTGTACGAAATTTGACATCCTCTTTTTTATGCAGATTTATAGTGTGTGCAAAATAATTCTTGTTACTCTTGCAACAGGTTCTTCCATTACTCAAGACTCTAAATCTTCAATCCTCCAAGTCTTTGTCCGCAATCCGTAGTATCTACCGACTCCCTAATATTGAGACTTTGCTTCTTTGTCAATGTTATGAACTGGTTGATGTTTGTAAAACCATTGGAGACCTAATGAATCTTGCTCTATTGGACATGTCAGAGTGTCCAAAGCTCAATAGGAAATTGATTCGTTTTTCTTCTAGAGAAAGAGTAAACGAATTTTCCTCTTTTTTTCAACATTCTATAGAAAGTCGACAAGGAACTTCCTTTTATTTGCCACATTCTAAAGAAAGTCGACAAGGAACTTCCTTTTCTTTGCCACATTCTTTAGTGTGGTTATTCCTTAGAGACTGCACCCTTGATGGTACTGAATATTTTTTTCTGAGTTTCGGCATTCAACCAAAATTGCAGTACCTGGATTTAGGCAGAGGTTGGTTTAAAAGCTTGCCCAGCTACAATCATCTTGTAAATCTTAGGGTCCTTAACTTGACTTTAAACCATAGACTTAAATGGCTTCTCTGTCTTCCAAGTGCACTTGCAGAATTGTATGTATATGATTGTCACTCGCTAGAGAAAATAACTTTTGAATCACATCGGTTCACACTGCGTGAGTTTGGCTATGAAAATTGTGCTCAGTTGAGTGAAGTGGAAGACTTCTTTAAATTGGTGCCGGTAGCCAGACTTGATGAAACTGATTTGGGACACTT